TCATTTTGGGTTGGGAGAGGGCACGACGGACAGATTCAGATCAGAAACAACAAAGACTAGACAGAAAAGAAGCAGCACTTCAACTTGCCACAAGTGGCGACCCCCGACCACCCGTGGAAAGTAAACTGATACGGCACATTGAAACTGAATCAATTTTAAGACTGAAAAAAAAAATCCTCCATTATTTACATTTGTCCCAATATTCAATATTTCTTTGCTTTTTCAAGTTCAAGTAAATTCAAGTCTGATTCAATTTTGTTTTGTTTTGTTTTTAAAGTTTAATAAGCAAATTTTATGGATCTTGAAACACAGTTAGGTTATATTATAAATATTATATATATATATATATATATATAGAGAGAGAGAGAGAGAGAGAGAGAGAGAGAGAGAGAGAGAGAGAAAGAGAGAGAGAGAAAGAGAGAGAGAGAGAGAGAGAGAGAGAGAGAGAGAGAGAGAGAGAGAGAGAGAGAGAGGTGGTACACGAGAGTAACAAGCATAAAAAGAAAGAGGCGAGATAAGGATGATAGATGTTTCACAGGAAAGAAGGAGTAAACCCCACCAGAGCACCCCCCTCCCTCCCTCTCCACCCACTTTTTTAACTGTTTGTATTGTTTTAGTAAGTATTTTACGGCACTTGCAACACAATAAGGTCATATAAGTGCCAAAGATTAGAGGTGTTACAAAAGAGTAACATACATAAAAAAAGAAGGAGTAGAGATAAGGACGATAGATGTTGGATAGGAAAGGAGGAGCAAACCACACCAGAGCACCCGCCAACCACCCACACTTTAAAAAAAAAAACAACTTTTTTAAACTTTTCAGCTCAGAACTGTTTTGTGCGTATTTCGACCTCAGCACAATACACAGGAAAAAGACACAGTACCATATCCTCATGAGAGGCACATCACAATAAAAATGCCAGAATGGTTTACTCTGTGCGTGTCAGTTACATCAGTAACAAACAGATACTGTAACAATAGTAACATACAAATAAAAGTAACTAAAACAAACAAAAATACAATATATTTCAATTGGCATGTGTGATGTGTCAATCCGTGGCAAGACATGACTCAGTTTAGTATAAATTATTTTTATTTATTCTCCAAAGAACAAATCTCATCACATATTTATTCGCTGAATATGAACACATTAAAATCATGCCCGAAAATCAAATGGAACATCACAAGATTTAGAGAATCAGAAACAGAACATGATGATGAACCATAGGAGGACATAGGTTGTCAGGGAGCTTTGATAAACTGGAACGTGTCCAATTAAAAAAACCCATGGGAAACATGAGTCAGAACTCCATGGAATTAGGTGCTTGTCAATTTTGAGGCCTGTGGAGTTATTCTATTGTTATGATCTGAAGAGTTTATCCATTTGTCTGGTTTTAATGAAAAAAAAATGTCCGCTTATCTACAACTAGAAAAGAAGTTAAGATATTCGCGATGGAAGGAGATGGGGATTGCTTCATCTCAGTGGTAAAATCAGCCAGAAAATAGCTGTCCAAGTTTCATGATTTCTAAAGTTTGAGTGTCATTGGAAATTGCAACTTTACAATTTTTGTGCCTTTAACATTAATCAACTTTTTTTCAGTGAAATCTTCACAGAATGTTTTTAGTAATGGATATTAGGTGTTGAGAAAGAAAAAAAAATTCATAAAAATTGCCCAACATGCGGAAAAATGTCGCTTTCTTTCATTTCATTAATTTGACAAGCGCCTTATTTCATCACGATGCCTCATGACTCATATATCATTTTCTTTTCTTTCCTTCAGTCAAATCAGGACAACTCAAAATTCACCAGGCCTGTAGCAATTAAGTAAACAGGGCAATACAGATGTTCTGTCAATCGCTTTAGGTTTGAGTAGTGAAGAGCACATTCACACAATAATGCTCATTAAATGCAGAGGATATAGATTTAAGCAAGATACACAGAAACAACAGGGGGAAATAAAAGAAGTAAAAAAACTTGCAGCCATGCCCAACAACCACCTACTCTGTCAATGGCAACCAAAACAACTCAACAACTACTTTGAACTACTGTAGATTCATTTCATTGTAAACTTTAATACAATTCAAGGACATAGTATGACGTTCTGTCAAGTGCTTCCAAAATAAGCATGTAACTGTAACAAGCTGTCTGATAAATACATCAATGACAAGTCCAGTTCTCTTACCTCTGAAAGTTTTTTTTATTTTAGCGAGAGTTTTACGGCCCTTATAAGACAATAAGATCATATAAATGCAGAAGATTAGAGTAGTTACAAGATGATAAAGTAACAAACACAAAAAAGACGGAGAGATAAGGACGATAGGTTTGGTAAAAGAAAAAGGGCGCAAACCACACCAGAGCACCCACCAACCACCCACATATCTTTCTGAGCCATGGTCCAAACACGGTACAATATCCACATACGACCTGATACTTTCATGATTAAAATTTAGATCAGAAAGTGAAATTATACCAGCATCTGTGTTGCAGCCGTAAGCTCTTTGCCACCAAAAGTTCGATTCCCATGAAATGAAGGGAGGTTTTTATCTCTAATCTTATTAGACTCCCTATCCAAAAAAAGGAGATAAAAAAAACACATGGGAAATGGAGATCAACAATATTCAAGATGAAATATTATTTTGTGAAAGTGGCTTTTCAGTGTTTCTTCGGCTATGGTGGACTTACACTATACCATTTGCAACAACATACTCTCCCCCCCCTCTAAAGAAAAACTTGATCTGCAGTAAACATATCCACAACATTTTCAATAAACCAGCTGCAAGGAACTAGGACGCGTGTATTGGAAGACTGTATTGCAAAAGATCCTTTTAGCCTTTTCCCATACTTCTGTCCTCCGATAAAACCTTGGCACTTTCCTAATGTCGTATTGCATTTCTTAATGATGAACATTTATATTTTAGAAACAAATTGCCTTAGTTAGTTCCTGAGTGAAATGAACTGAGTGAGATGCATATTACTTTAATTGAGTTTTAAAGGAAATTTCATTGTCACTTTTCTGTTACTGTTTATGGGGAATAAAAAGAAAACGAAAAAAGAAAGCTACTATAATACACTGACTGAATGGTGATCATGGTTCTTCCCCCATTTCTTTGCTTGACGCTCTTTAAAAAAAACAACCTTTGTCCAACCTGATCTAACAGCCAATTGTCAAAATACAATCACATGTACAAATGACCCCCCCCCCCCCCCCATCCCCCCCTGCATTTTGTCTATATTCATACTGACATTGTCCAAAACATCCATCTGTCTGAAACAATCACTCTTCATCTCGATAATGGGTGGCCATCTTGGACATCGGACAATTTTGACTAAAATATAATATATGTGTCACGACGCGGTGGAATCAGGCGCTCATCAATTTTTGTGCATGAGGAGTTACTGGTATCATATTAAAGCTTGTTCATTTATCTTGCTTTTGACAGAAAAAAATACCAATCTATCTTGAGCAGAACTGAAGATATTTGTGATTGGAAGAGGTAAGTTCACCTGGTTTCAGCGGTAAAAATAGCGAGAAAATGGCTGCCAAAGTTTGGTAACTTTAAAAGCTAAAGAGTCCTTGAAAACTGAAAAATTACAAATTTTGAGCTTTTCAACAATGTTTTTCAATATAATTCAAATGGAAACGTAGCAATGCCAATCGGGCTTCTGCGCGTGGCGAAATTTTGGTCCACAATTGCGGGTGAACTTTTAGACCGGGTCGGAACGTAAGGGACTAACTTTGTGAAACTCGTTCTGTGCTATTTTTGGACCAATGTATATTGAACTTGGCAATCAACCAGAACATAGGGCAAACTAATGATATGTGGACATTCAACTTTGTACACATAAATTAACCTTTTGGTGTCGGAAACACTTTGTATTGGGTATACCGAAAACTATAAGGAGCTTGATTTTCAACGCTGAGAAGATAATAGATCTATCTTTCCTCAGTAGCGTCCTCAAATTTAAACGTTCTCTGTCAAATAGTTGTTTAGAATTTATCATACATGTACCACTACCACCCTGTCCAAAGTGGCTTCGCACGGAGACCAGCCATTTTCCCCTCACTCCCTCGGCAAATGTATGTGACCTACAAATCTCCACATGACTATTCCAAGCTACTTCATTGGTCACTTAAAATGGGGCAATGGCGGGCGCGCACATCCGGTTGTTTTTCTCTCTTTTCCCCTTTAACATCCTAATGGGGGTATTCCGAGGCGAGCTTATCTCGCCTAGGGGTGTTTACATCTCAAAGGGAAAAAAAGGTTTTAAAAAGGTTTTTAATTGCATGGCATGTTAGATTGAATAGAATAATTTTTTAAGGCTAGCATGGTCTAAAGTCTAAAGTCATCAAAGAAAACTTTGCCATTTTTTAGTCACACTGCCAACATATTCTTAAAGATCCCATGTTGTGATACGATGCTATAAATAAAATCCTCTCATCTCGACACCCCTTTTTCTCAAAATCGTAATATATACACCACAATTTTAATTATATCAAAATAACTACGAATGGTTTGTAAATCTGACAGCAGAAATGATTTCTCCACCCAAAATGGGTAGCCAAATTTCTAACACTCCAATTAATTGCTGAGATATCGTCGATTTTCTTACATGTTACGAGGTCCAGCTGTTTTAGAGTATTTTCCTATATGTGGGTCATCCATATTTTACTAACCTTTACAACCCGATAAATTTTTTAAATTTAAGAACCGATTCTTTTAATTCAAAAAGAATAATTGTTAGAATTGAAAACTCTTTCTTAGGTACTAAATCAAAAATGGGTTTCAGTGAAAAATCAATTTTTCCTTGGCATTGCTAAGAATTATGTGTTTTTATTTGGACACAAAAGGGTTGAACAAAAAACAAAAAAATTTGATTAAAATTGTGAAACTGGTGGGAAAATGCCTGTATCTTTGTTGACGAGCGACTGATTTCACCACGATGCCTCACATATCACTCTGGTCTTTTCCCATCACTCTCATCCTCCAACTCATTTTAACTTTATTATTTTAGGTGTATATTTTAACTTTTTTCTTCTCCTTTCTCTTCTTTTTCTTCAGAAGCTTTTTTGTCCAGTTCCTCTTTAAAATCACTCAGCAGGTCCAAATCCATCTGATTAAATTTTTCCACTAGATGTTCAGGCACCTCCACTTTATGTAAATCCTCCATTCCCTGCTGTGGTTCATCAGATATAAGCACATCGATGAGATTTCTACATGCCACTTTGGTCTTGGGATCTTTCTCCCATCTGTCCAGCTCTCGAAGGATGACATAAGCGTTCTTCTCCTTGATCAGCAACCGGCCTTGCTTTGTGCTGCACAACTGCAAAAGAAGGACAAACATTGGCTCTGTACTGCATTTATATTATTGAAATTCAAGGACAAACAGGCAGCCAACGTATGTGGTGTTATGATTAAACTGTCAGTGTCAGCTGTTGCTTGTAAAATGGGGTTCTATTGGCAAGAGGGAAAAGTTTGGATTTTTATTTAGTATAAAAAGCGTTAGTCTGTTGGGAAGTTGTATTAGTATCAGCTCGGACAGGCGGGGTTGAAGCGGCCTATGACCTAAATGATCTTTACTGTGTTGATGGGGGAGTAAAAGAAAGTACAGGGGAGTACGCTTTAAAATAAATCTGAAGGACCAACGAATTTGCCATGTGTTCGATTCAGAGTGATTGGTCAAACAAAACAGGAAGAAAAAAATATGGGCTTTAAAAAATTTTCTTTCAGTTTACCACTGTTTTCAGATAATCCCTATTCAACTTAAGCCAACCCCACTGTAGTTAACTGAATAGGAACATGCATTAACAGCCACACTGAGTATGATTGAGTACATTCGAATAAAAAAAGATATCAAAGCAGCACACTACCAGAGCGGATTTTTTTTCTTGATATCAATACAATTTGATAGCTGACTACCAGTACCATCCAACTATATAATTTCCCTCTATGTTTTACTAGGTATGGAACCAGTTTAGTAATTAAACGGTCATTTTTAGCACACTCATTGCACTCTTAGGGCTCAGTGAAAGAATAAAAAAAATCCTTAGATTAGGAAATTTAAAGACAAGATGTTAAAACGTCAGTTTTAAAAAGAGCTTTAATTTTGTTTTGTATGACACGAACACAACTCACTTACTTTGTCCAGAGACTCACCTAGAAAGTAGCTTTCATGACACCGATTCTTACAGAAAGAGTACGGAGTACTTTGTTACAACAGGATTGTAATTGTTGGATTGTATTGGCAATCAAATTTTATCGATATCTTTTTCCCACTGAGGTCTAGCATTCCCCATCTCTTACAAGTCAAAATAATTGGGATACCAATAAAGGTATAAACAGACCTACAGAATAGCATATTTCTTGCACCTGTTCACGGCCTTTGGTATATAATATATATATTATATATATTCTATATCTTTACAAGAAAGTTTTACTTCAAGGGTGGTTGGCAAGTGCTCTGGGGTGGTTTGCTCATTCTTTCCTATCAAACATCTATCCTTATCTCTCCACCTTTTTTTTGAGTCTGTTACCTCTTGTAACACTAACACCTCTAATCTTCAGCACTTACATGACCTAAAATTGTGTTGCAAGTGCTGTAATACACTTACTAAAACTAAGTTTCACTTCTCCATGGGTTTCTTTGCATCCATCCCCTCACACATCAATACAAAGAAAGACCCATTTTCACTTCTCCATGGGTTTCTTTAAATGCCCTCATACATAAATTTGATACAAAGAAACACTCATTCCTTTAATTACCTGAGTGACAGCCTCAATAAGCATTGTTCTCAGATCTGGGTCAGCCTCCCTCTCTTTGTCTGGTGGCAAAAACTGCAGGTCCACAGGGAGTCTCTCCATATCATCATCATCGAACTCTTCCCCTCCAGCCAGAGGCAGTAACAGTCGAGGCAAAATGTCCACTTCCTCACTCAAGAGCCATGCATGATACTCTGTTGAGAAGAATAACTGTAGTCTGTCATGTTTATTTTTAGACAAAGAGAGGCACGTTGGCTAAATAATACACGTCGTAATGGTAACTTAAGTTATAGCAGGGGAAAATAAGAAGGATGACAGAGTATGATAACAAACAAGCTGGCAGGAAAATTAAACGTGAGTAATATCACCATGAACCACACAAACGACATTCCAAATGTGACGTGTGAATTGAAAACTTTCACTGATTATAAATTAAAAGAAGTACAGTGGAAACCATACATAACAGGCCTGAAAATAAAAGTGATCCGGTAATAACAGGGATTTTTTAAATCCCCGATCTTTATTACTTTTTGTCTCTATTAAAAGTTATCGGCAATAACAGGGCCTTATCGGAGCCCAATTGGTTATAGCAAGGACAAACACTCATTAACAATGTGTAAAAAGTAAGAGCGAGAGAGAGAAAGAGAGAGAGAGAAAGAGAGAGAGAGAGAGAAAGAGAGACAGACAGAGAGAAACGCAGTTATATGGAGCAAGCCCATTCAAACCATACCACTGCAAGCACCCACAACGGCTGAAGCGAGAGAGGGCTGCAGTGCGCTGCAGACTTCAATCTAGCCCTACTACACACATGCGTAATATGTCATGTGCATGCCTGCCACATGGTACTTGTGGCAAGGGAAACAGCCCATGAATAAATACAGCTGGATTAGTCCACAATGGTTATTTCCCTTGATTTCAGATTTAACAGTGATCTGATATAACAGGACCTTTTCTCTGGTCCCACCATCCCTGTTATTATATCAGGTTTCCACTGTACATCATGGACCAGAACCAACTGAGAGGGAATACCAAAACAATTTGTGATGTTTAATTTGACTTTTTTAATTGCCTTTTCAGAGTCTCTGATTGCTTGCCATTTCAACAATGCTATGATGTCATCTTCATATATATATTTTTTTTTATATTGAAGGTTAAATAGGGTACCATGATTATATCAGTCTGCACCCTCTACCCACAGGCTCCTGTTTACAACACACAGCACAGTTCAGGATTGGCTTAGCTAAAGTTTGACTACTGCACTGTCATCATCATTCACATTATAAAACTAGTATCCCTATACACTGGTATGCATTGGTCTAGTGATGCAAGAATGGTAATCTAAACTAAGTTGGTCACACTGCCTTCGGTTTGTTGTGGCATATTGTTGCTACGAAGCGGTTTACATAGTCTTCCTTTTCTTGTAAACTTCATTGATTATCTCGGCCTTTAATTCGAGTCAGAAGCATAAAATTTCCTTATATTTTGTTTTTCTTGGATGCCATATTTTCCTCGGTCTTGTTGCTTGTGCTATCGTACCGGATGTCTACTGTAGAACTGGTGAAGTGGATGCATGCGTATGTCTAAACATTAACGATCACAATTCAGTGAATCAGGAATCACACACAGTACTACACGCTCTCCTCTTCTTTTACTTTTTGGCTTAGCCTAGGCTAGAGGGCTATGGCACATGTCTCTCCTCACCATCTCTCTGTCTACCGTCTGCCCCACCTCACTCATCACTGGACCGGCCAATCATAATGCTGCACTGCTGACTGTCTGTTTGAAGCCCGCCAACAGCCCCCCCAGCCCAGGTACAGCTTGCTCGATCTCTCCCGTTGTATCCAAGTTCGGGCCTTTCCTTGCCCCGTTACACCCAAGCACAGGTAATTCAAGTAATTGAGTTTAATAAGAGAAAAAAAGGGGGAATCCGCTGAGGTTCCACTGCAGGGATGTTCTAATAAAAACTGAAAGAGGTAGAGAACAAATTTTATACATCTAGTAAAATTTCCCACAGGTATTTCATTCCCATTTTCAAGAACTCTACGCTGTCAACAATCCATGTCATTTTCATTTGAGCAACGTCTAAACCAAAAAAAACATGGTAAAATTGAAGAAAATCAGGCAGTCCCCCCACAATTCGGTTTTAACTGATTCCACAGTATGGAGAAAGACTGCTGAGAGAGAGAGAGAGAGAGAGAGAGAGAGAGAGAGAGAGAGAGAGAGAGAGATCTGAGAGAGAGAGAGAGAAGAGATGTGTGCGTGTGTGTGTGCGTGTGTGTGTGTGTGTGTGTGTGTGTGTGTTTGTGTGTGTGTGTATGAGCGTGTACAATTTTATGAAGCTTACCATATTCAAAGCAACAGTTCTTCAATGTCCCCACTATTCCTCCTCTCCGGATTGTTGAGTCAGCATACTCTGTGAAAGGCAGAAGCTTCTGTATGATGCAACGATCTTTGTCCATGATTATTTTTCTTATGCCAGGAACCTGTGTCAGATTCGATAAGATGAGTCCCAGGTAATGTAGAGTAGCATTTTTATTGAAATTCACTTTACACAGTACATTCACCACATTTTCCATTGTCACCTTCGAGTTGGCTTCAAGAATTTGACAGGCTAATTTGCTAGCACAGCCTGCAATCCTTGTTGTATTAGCTATTATGCTTGATGCTTGGTCAGCAAATTCAAAATCTGGCTTGAGCATCTTGTGAAGCAAGTCATAAATAAAAGTGGTTTCTGTATTCATTAGTTTCCAAGCAATCTTCTCATCTGCAGTTAAATTAATCAATGTTAAAAATGCATCCCTGGAAATATCCTTTTCTTTGTCACACGTCAAAGAAGCAATGGCCTTCAGAAACTTGTCCCCTTCTGCTATGAAATCTCTTCCTTCCTTTGAGCCTGTCAGTTCCAGAAAGTAACGTATGGCTACAGACTTCAAGTCTCCCCGAGCCTCAAGGGTTAAAAACGGGAGCAGTTCCTTCTCCAGATGTAATTTGGTGGCTTGATCTAAAGCCATGATGGATATGACGTCAGCAAAAATTAATTCAACAAAAATATCTTTTCGATGAACAATGGAACACTTGGGGTGAACTTGTTACAAGCTACACCAAAAAATATACACTGTGCCACCTCTGAAAATTAGTGAAACGCAGACTATGAAGAAGTAGAAGTAGACACCCCCATGTGTGTTTGTTTACATCGCCATTGTATCATTGTACCTTCAATAGACATAGTTTCGAAGTAAATTTAGATCTAGCTCCTTGATCTAGATCTATACATTGAAATAGCCTAGATTTACGAAGAAGGGGAAAGTCAAATTAATTTAACCATTCAATAGATTTACTCAAGTTTGTATCCTTTTTGTGGAGAAATGATAGAGTTATGTTTTTGAGATTGTTCTTTTAAATTCGAAAGATATTTTCACACAGGCTCTGAAACTTCTTAACCTCTCGATACTGAGCCGGTAATAAAGATATTCACGATACCTAGACACCAAAATCTAGGCCTCTTGATTACCTTACTATGAAAAGAAATCAGAGTATCGATATTTTTTCTACCAACTTTCGATTTTGATTTTGCTTCATTCACTTTTGTCATTCTACCTCTACCCAAGGAGATTAAAAGTACTCATTTTGTTGAACAGTAACAATGTCAAAGAAGATCACGACACCGCTGCAGCTTTACAAACACTTACTTCGCTGTGTTCAGCAACTTCCACCCGAAGCCCAGCCTTATTATAAGCATAATATACGTCAAGTAGGTGGAGACTAAATGTATAATTAAATAGTAGTATAGTATAGACTATGACTAAGTATAGACTATTATAATTATACTAGATATCTAGATCTTGATCTAGTATAACTCTTGTAGGATCCTCTCACTCTGTGTGAGCATCAAATAAAGAGTATTTCTGTATGTTTATCTGTTAATGGTTTTAGATATAATATGCTCCCATTTTTCTACTTTCGAGTTTGAGAAAAATAAGATGAAAATCCATTTATCTGTTTTTAAAAAATCACACGGCGTTCGAATGGCTCTGCCATGCTTCGAATAGCTGTGAATAGTGCAAAAATCATGAATGTCAAATAGTAATGTCGATGGGCACAGCTCTACTTTCTGTTTCCGACATTTTATGGTGCATAATATCTGAATATCATTACATTGAGTCTGTCCCCCCCCCCTCCTTTCAATGCCTTTGCATTCTTAACCGCAGTCGGGGAATCCTTCACAGTACAGTCACGTGTTGTCTCATTATCAGCCCAAGTGACCCCCCACTCCCAAAGGGAGGTCACTAGAATATCAAGGCAATTCCTGCGTCCCTTCCTCCCTTTGCAAACCCGCAGTGGGTCGGGGGGATATAAATAGACCCACTGCTTCGTCTGCAGAAGGTGCAACCCCCTCAAAGGCGGAGTGTCGCACACGGACCCCAACCCTCTGGGATCCGTGTGCGACACTCACTTTGGTGTATATCTTCCTCTTCTCCTTCCTTCTTTCTTTCTTCTTCTATCTTTTCTCCCACCGCTGACCTCAAGTGCAGTAAAAAGAGAGGTCACGCTTCCCACAGAGTGGGCGCCTCGTTGACCGTGAGGTGCGACCCATGCGGAGGGAAAACGGGTACCTGGCGGTTGAGGTGAGATCAGTCCACGGACTGTCCCTCGCCAACACACCTCTTTGGCCCAGGTTTTCCTCTTAGACGGGAGGGTGGCACGGCCCATGCCACTCAATCGGTTGAGTGCTGAAACCCCATCAAGCCCTGGGTCAATCTTGATGGGAGGGTCTTGTACTTTCTCGTTGAGAGTATAGCTCCGGGGTAGCCCTGGCACAGTTCTGGTCATCTTAGCAATGTGTCCCCTTGTTGGGCTCCGTGGCGGGCGGGGAGCCCCGGAGTAGAATCAACCATAAATTTCATATGGAATCCAAATTTAAAAAAGACCCTTCCCCAGCTCCCAACGTTAAGAAAAAGTCTCGGCTCGCAGAAGCGGGTGCGGCCGCCGAGCCGAGCAAAAACTCAAAAACAGGAAAAAGAACCTTTACCGTTGCTTCTTTCCTCCCTTCTCCTAGGGAGCTTCTGAAGCAGCCGTACGTGGCCATCAGCTGCAAAGAAAACGCACAGAAGGAGATCACTGATCTGAATCTGTTAAAGACGGGAGATGCACTACGACAGGTTCTGGGATACATTCCTACGAATGTCCAGAAGCTGTCCTCTGGTGTACTCCTCATCAAGTGCGGAACTGAAGACGAAGTGACCAAATTCCTGGATACCACGACCTTCGACGGTATTCCATATAGGTCCGACCGCTACCAGAAATTTAACCGCTCGAAGGGCGTCGTTCGCAGCCATGAGCTGAAAGGCTGCTCCATGGAAGAAATTGTGGAGCACTGTGAGGGAGTGGTCGAAGCCTGCCAGATTACTCTTCGGCGGGGGGAGACTACTATTGAAACGAACACGATTGTCCTCACTTTCGAATCGTGTCGCCCTCCAGCCACGGTTCGGGCATCTTTCTTGGTACTCGACGTACGACCCTATGTGCCGAACCCTCTGCGCTGTTTCAAGTGTCAGTAGTTCGGCCATAGCCAGTCACGGTGCCGTCACGCAGCCGTGTGTCCACGTTGTGGAAAGACCGGGCATCCTGAGAAGGAATGCAAGGCTAGTCCTTGTTGTCCCAATTGCCACGGCCAGTACACAGCTTTCAGCAAGGAGTGCCCGACTTGGCTCCAAGAACGCGCCATCCAAGAATACAAGGCGCGAAATGGCTGCTCCTTCCAGGAGGCCCGTAAGGTTGTCTGCCCGCCAATCACAACCCCAGTCATTGGCTTGGCCGGTCATATTCAAAGGCAGCCCAGGTGGTCACGAGGTCGGCAAGTAATTCTACTGCCGACCTCCCAAAGCCCGCGGTCAACAGGCAAGTCACTGTGCCTAAGAACAAAAAGCCCGCTACTTTCCCTGTGGCAACCCCCTTTGAGGTGCCACTCTCTAACCGCTATAGGGTTCTAGGGGAGGACGGGGAGGACTCTTCCTCCGCCCCCTCTTCTCCCCCTCACCCCTCTTCTATCCCTTTTTCTTCTTCTCCTCCTTCTTCCACCTCACAGCCCATCCCTCTGATGGAGTGTGAGATGGGCCTTCTCCCCTCCCCCAGCCCCCTCCCCTCCCCCAGCCCCCTCCCCCTCCCCCCCCCCTTTTTCAGCCCCCTCGGTCTGCTCCACCTCCCCCTACCCCTCCAGCAGACAAACCCCTGCATATGGAGGAAGACAGCTCCGACCCCCCTCCCCGGCCTGACCCCGGGAAGGGCGGAGTCTGTCACTCCTCCAAATCCCCCACTAGACCGCCTTCCAATCCAGGATGGCAACCTAGAAAACACTCTGCCTCCCCCGCAAGGAGGAGTCAGAGTGTTTCTTCGAAGCCGGGGCCTTTGAACTCCAAAATAAAAACTAAAAATTCATAATGGCGGTCCTGCAGTGGAATGCGACCTTCCATTGCAGAATTGCAACATTTACAGGTCACACTGTGCCCACGGGTGGCCTGTATTCAAGAAACAAAATTCGCCCTGGCTTCAACCATAGACTTAAGAGGATTTACTGCGTACCATCACATTCACACGGAGAACCAGATTGCTTCCGGTGGTACCACCATCTACACCGACAACAACACACTCCACAGACAAATACATCTTAAGACGACCCTCCAGGCTATTGCCGTACGGGTCACCCTGCACAGACCAATCACGATCTGCTCAGTTTATATCCCACCAAATTACCCCCTCAAAATAACCCAACTAAATGACTTAAAGGCTCAGCTTCCAAAACCCTTTATTTTGCTAGGTGATTTCAATGCCCACAGCCCCCTTTGGGGAGACAAACCTATAGACCAGAAAGGAAAAATAATAGAAAACTTTTTATTTCAAAATAACATCTGTCTCTTAAATGATAAATCCCCAACTTACAGAAACAGAGCCACTTATGGCACTTCATCCCTTGACCTCACCTTTTGTACCCCTGACCTAGTCCCAGATCTTGAATGGTCTGTGCTGGATGACCGTACGGACCATTTCCCAATTCTCCTCAAAAACAATAGCCTCCAAAACGACCCGATCCCAGAACGCTTCAACTTCAAAAAAGCAGACTGGGACGGGTTTGCCAATCAATGTTCCCAGATTTTTAATCCCAATTTCGACCTCAACTACAATAAATTCCACGAAAAGCTTTTAGAAATATGCCACAAACACATACCAAAAACAAAAACAAAACCCTGGAGGAACAAGATCTGGTTCTCTTGGGAATGTGAGGATGCAGTAAAGAAAAAGAAGGCAGCGTATCGAAAGGCCGTCAACAACACCACCACAGAAAACAAGATAAACTATTTAAAGGCTCGAACTGTGGCACATAGATGCCTCAGGGAGAGCAAAAGACAGTCATTCCAAAAATACATCTCCAAAATCAACAGCCAGACACCACTCAACCAAGTTTTCAAAATTGCTAAAAAAATTCTTAGGTAGACGCACAGACACCATTCGGCACGTCTAGAGGCCGGATGGAACCACAGCTGAAACACAAGTAGACATCGCAAACACAATAGCTACATCTCTCGCCAAAAACTCATCCCCAGCAAACTACAACACCACTTTTCAAAACATCAAAACTAACAGAGAAAAACAACACCTATACTTCCACTCAAACAACACTGAAACCTACAACGCAGACTTCACAATAGACGAACTAACATCGTGCATCTCGGACCTGGGCGATACAGCCCCAGGACCGGATGACATCCACAACCAGATCCTTAGACATTTACCCTCAGAAACACCCACACTCCTACTGTACATATACAACGACATGTGGCGGTCGCACTCCTTTCCGGAGTCTTGGCGTCTTGCCACTGTCATTCCAATACCCAAACCAAACAAAGACCACACACACCCATCCAATTACAGACCAATAGCACTAACGAGCTGTCTCTGCAAACTGATTGAAAAAATGATTCACAGGCGACTCATGTGGTTTCTGGAAACGACGGGCTCGCTGAGCGGTCTCCAGTGCGGATTCAGGAAAACTCGATCCACTCTGGGTCACCTGGTCTGCCTGGAGACATTTATACGCGAGACGTTCGCTGAAAGAGGCCACATGATCACCATCTTTTTTTACCTAGAAAAAGCCTTCGACACAACCTGGAAGTACGGCATTCTTCGAGACCTGCATGCACTCGGCATACGCGGTCACCTCCCTGCCTTCATTGGCA